TTTTGTATTGTTTATTTTGACTTGTGAAGTACCTAATAGTATATCTTCTAGATCTTCAAGAACTGAATTCTCTTTATATAAGACTAAACTCTCCTGACTTTCTGTTAATTTTAGTTTATTAATTAGTATAGCTAATATTGCTTTTTTGAATATATTGATGAAGTTATCAATTTTTCTTAGAGCCTATACTTCTTTTTTTTGTTCATTTGTAAAGAGAATATCTATAGCTAACTTATTTCTATTTGCTAATTTTTTTGTTCAGATATTCTACTTCTTGTAAAATAAGAGTTTCTATACTATTCTGAATCTGTTTCTCTTCTACTATTATTTTTTTAGGAAGATCTACATTCATCTTATTAATCTCTGAGTTCGAAACTTATAGTTTCTTTAGATCTTTTGTTTAGATACTCTCTTTTTCTTTTTTTTTATATTATCTCTTCTTTGCTTTTGTATTTATTCTCTGATTTTTTTTTCATAAGTATGAGTTCTTGTTCTAATTCACTTAGTGCTTTTTTTAGAATCTCTTTTCCTTCTTCTAAGATTACTCTTTTTAAGATTTTGTACTAGTTTTTAGTTATAGTGATAATTTTTATATTTATATCTGTAATTCTTAATATATTTAAATCTATTTTTTCATAACTCTCTTCTGTTCTTTCTATGACTTTTACTAATTTTTGTAGCTCTTCTTTTTTAAGTAATACTTTGAAGCTAGCAACTTTTTTTGACTCTGTTAAGTCAATACTTTAGTTCTTGCAAAATTAACTTTCTCTATTATTTTCTTTAGTTATTTTTGTCTTTTTTGTTAATATACTCTCTTTTATAAAGTGATATTAACTTTTTTTGCAAATACCCTATAGTATTTCCTATTTGTTGTAATATTTCTAGCTATTGCCTTATATAACTCTATTCTGTTAGTTGTTATATGACATATTTTATTAGTTTATATAAAATACAAGATGTTGTTTATATATTCTTTTATATGTTTATATTATGTGAGATAATCTGCAATATTAAGAGTATGCAAATCTTCAATTTTCTAGAAAAAAAATTTTTTGTCAAAAAAATTTAACATGTTTCCTTCTGTATAGCTTTTAGTTAACTTCTGATTTCTTTAGTCTTCTAATATAATATGTATAAATTTTGGTCTTCTTTAACTTTTACTAGTACTACTTATATTTGTTTTTAGTGAGATACTTAAGTTAAATCAGATTTTCTTTTAGCTTCAAAATTAGTTCAAGTAATCATTAATGAAAGTGTTAAACTTAGTAATAAGAGAGTTTTGTTTCAATCTTGTAGAAAAAAGTTAATATAAGTAGTATCTTTATTATAAGAAAGTAGAAATATAGTAGATTGGAATTCTATAACTATATTTTCTGATTTTAAATTTTGACTTAAACTATTTTATACATATGTACTAAATTCAAAAAAAGTTATTATCTAAATTAATTATAAGAAATCCTAAATTTTCTAATATTATTTGAACATGATATATATTGTAAAAGTATAATTAGCTATATATATAATTTTAGATTATCTATTTTAAATAGTCTGCTTAAAAATTCTATACTAGTTGCTATTCCTAAAATTTCTTAAAAGATTCTTTATTTAAACTCTTTAGTCCTATCTTACCTACTGCAAGTATTATACTTTAAGTAAGCTACAACTCTATGCTACTCTACTTTGGAAAGTACTCAAGCTAATATATGTTGCAAACTTTACTATTATGAGTCTAGATCTTATCAGATAAGTCTCACTTCAATACTTCCTAATAGATAAATACTACAATACCCAACTATGCTATACTATATTCTAATCTAGCTTATATATAACTTTATTTGATATTTGTATGAATCTAATTCTTGCTATAGTCCTCTACTAGATTAGACTTCTATGTTTTCTGAATATTTTATGAGGTAGTTTTTCCTAATCTAATTAGTTATCAAACCAAGTTGATATTACTATATTACTTAGTATCTCAAATTTACTTATATCTATTTGATCTATATTCTTTATATGCAAGTCTCTTTATTAGATCAAGTGTTAACTAATATAACTGTTAAAATTTGTACTACTTTATCTAACTCAGGATTTCTACTAAACAGATCTTTTGCTTATAGATTCTATTAAAATTTATTCATAAAATATTATATCTTTTCAAATATTATATTACACTTCTAATATCTAATTAATATTAATACAATATGATTTATAAAGTTATAACCTCAAAAACAAATAGAGTTTACTATAAGTTGAATACAAGATTTGAGAAATTATTTAAATTGTTGATAGTAGAATTTGAACTTTAAACTTATTATATAGTAGTTTGACAATTTATCTACTATACTAGATCACTAGATTAGTGCTTAGATTCAGATATCTAATAGATATCTGAATAAATATCCTTTTTTATAATTTTGTAATTCAAATTTATAGATAAATTTAAATTAGCTATCCAGTTATAATTCAGATATATCTAAATTTTAATTTTAAAATTTTTTTTAATAAATTAATGATTAAATATATTAAAAGAAGTAATATATAAAAATAACAATGATTTAAATATCAATTAACAAATTAAATAATCATTTTATATATACAGTATATTAATATTGACTAAATATGATAAGCTAACTGTAAATATTTATGAAATTGTTATTTTTAATGCTTTAATGATACTCATAATACTTCATTGCACTGACTTTAAATTTTTATATTCATGAACTAGTTAAATTGGTATAGAATTCATGCTATAGATAGATACTAAAAGCATTATACTATGTATATATTGTTACTATTGTAAATTATGAAAGCAGATAATATTGTACAGTTTAGCTCTGATAGTTAACATGATACTGAGTTTAATAATCTAATTACTATAAGATAAACAATATAAGTAGGGTATTTATATTTAGATTAATAGTTGTTAAGTAGAAAAGATAATAATTTAAGGATAGGTTCAAATAATATCAGATATGATATCTATAAGAGTGACATTACTATTAAATATACTATAATAAAACTAATAACTTCAATATAATTATAATACCAAAAATAAATAATTATAATGTCCTGATAATAATTGATCCTATTAACAATTCTATAGTGTATCATTACTCATGATATCTAAATCGTTTAATAATCTAAATAATGATATTATTCATGATATTACTTCCTATATAACTTGTTAAGAATACAGCTCTTAATTACTCAGTAAAAGATCTATTCAGCTTCAATACTTACTTCTTTTCTGTTAATTAAGAGACTCAGTATATTCTTTAATAAATAAAGAGAAAAATGTAGTGAGGAATTGATTATTTAATTAGAAGCATTTATATTTTTGGAATTTAAGGATAACTTAATTCATAACTTTATAACTTGTTCTTTTAGAAGAGCAAGGAGAACTAATATTTATACAAAATTCATTCTTTGGAGAAGACTATACTAATACTATTTTATCTTTTAATACTAAGCTTATCCTTCTCACTAGTGAGCAGTTGTAGTTAAGCCTCATATAGTACAAAACTACACTGCTCACTTTTATATTTATTATTTCTATAATCTATTGTTATAGCTTAAGCAATTAGTTAACTACTTACTCTAATATTTATATAGATTATTATCACAATTCCTAAACAAGGTATGAGCAGTCTAACAAACAAATAATAATATAAAGTATAATTGAAATAATGAAAAGGCTAAATAATAATAAAAATAAAAGATAATAAATAAATAAATAATAAAAGAAAAAGAAATAATTTAGCGAAGAAACTGTGACTTATAATGATACACTAATTTATATTCAAACAGTATATGATGTGTACTTAAATGCTTGTACTAAATAATAGTTATTATGATTATTATAATCTAATTGAAGTTGACAAAGAGTTAGAAGCAACACAAATTAAATAAATCTTATACTTATACAACACAATCAACTATTGATCAATTAGATAAATTAATGATATAGAGTTAGTAAATCAAAGTAATTTAAATGATTGTACCTGATTAGAATTTTTACTTAAATAAAATAATAATTTATTCAGGTATTTAATATTATAATACCTAGATAATAATCATATCTGAAGTATAATAATAACAGTAATATTGTATGAAAAATATAATATTATTTAAGAGCTAAAGATGAAAATAATAAATTAATTAATAGTATCTTGTGGAATTTATACTAAAGACTTCATTAGAAGCAGGATCTTTTTATACTTTAAATAAAAGACAGTTTTTGATATTGAATAAGTATTTAAACTAGTAAGTTATATGATTTAGCTCTATGAATTTTTGTTTTTAATTATTTTTTAAAAAAAATATCGTATTTTACAATTCTTGAATTATAATAATAGTAAATTCTAACTTTGATCTTATTATATAAATTGATCACTTTCTGAAAGATTTTATTACTTATCTCTTATTATAGTAAATATCACATAGTTCAAATACTAAAAGAAAGTTTAAATATAATACAAGATTTATTACTAGTAATATAGTAGAATTATTCCAATAATTGTTATAACTAAGTCTAAATTTTCTCTACTACATTACTATTTATCACATTTGGATTTAAATTCTATAATCAATATATAACTAACTATAAACAGATATTGTATAATAATGGATATATCTGTAATGATTAATTCTTTAATTAGAGTTATGCAAAAGTAACTCTTATTGCAAGTGAAAAAATATTTTTTTATTCAAGAAGTAGTTTATATCATTCATGGTTTAAACTCTTTAGTAAATATTTTAAAGCTCAAAACTACTTCTAATAGCTTATAATATCTACAATATTTGCATAATACTAAACCACTATATCATATTCTATATGTAAGAAAAAAATAATAACAAATATAGTAAAAAACTAACTATTTATAAAAGATAAAAATAACTATATAATAAAGAATAAAAAAGAAAAAAAATTTATACTATTATAATTTCTCTAATAATTATTCGATTTTTAATTTACATTTTGTATTAGAATAATATTTAATCTAACTTTTAGAAATTGAATCAAGCTTTCTATAAACATCTGTAAAGCAACAATAAAATACAATATAATTTATTTGAAATTTAAATTCATTATTTCAATTGTAACTCAAATAAAGTATCTAAGATGCTAATATTTTTTTTAAGAAAAAGGATTCTTTCAAATAAGTTAGTATTAATTGATATGTGCTTTGATATCATTAAATTACCTGTACTTGAAAATAAATGTTCACTAGATATTGATGTTGTAGGTATTATCAAATATTTACATGCCAACTTGAAAAGAATTAAAAATCTTTCTTGCATATCTTTCTACTAATTAAGCAGGTTAGTTGTAGTTTGTACTTGATCAATTTTAAAATATTCATTTACTTTATTATTTGATATTGATATTTCATCAAATCCAAATATTATTGAAAAAAGTTTCATATGATTTTTATTTTGATCTTCATTTAGCAGATTATTAATAGTTTCATTTCTATTACTAAGTAAATTATATTCTTCTTGCAAAAGACTAATAGCTTTATTACACTTCCAACTATCTAATTTTTTCATTAATTTATAATGAGGATCAAGTAACATTGTAATTAATAAGTTATCTAGAGGTGCATCTTAATAATGATTTAATACTTTATATAAACTTGCTTTTACTTTTTCTACTAAACTTTCTGTATTTTGAGGTTGACTAAGCTTAAATTTATTTCTATTAGAAGTAGTAATAATTTCTAATTCTTCATTAAAATCAATAATATCTTCTTCTTTTCTTCAAAAATTGTTGACATATTTATGTAATCAATTTCTACATCATTTATACTTATTCACATTGGTTCACAAGTTCTAGTAAGAGTAATAATTGCTGACTATATAAAACTAACTGTAAAATAAGTACTACCTTCTAACAATTCTGTAATTTCAGCAAAAGGAGCTAAGAGCATAGTTAATTCCTCAAGAACTTTCTATTCTTCTTCTGTAATTATCAAGGATTTTAAATAAATTGCATCTTTATGAATATTATAATTACTATTTTTACTCATAGTTGCTTCTATTAATTTAATAGCATGTTTGATTTAAAGAAGCCACTTCTATACAATATAAGAAGAGTTTCAATGTATAAGAGTATCAGATATTGTATAAAGAAATTCTAATTCATTATCATCAATTTTTTTTTTTAATATTTTTAATAATTCTTGTGCCTTCTGTAATTGCTTATTTTGTTTAGGTGTGATCAAAAAATTAATTAATCGTTTTGCATGTTTTATTAAAATTTCTGCAGATTTTAGTTCTTTTCTGATAGCTAGTTGAAGTGTATAGACTATATAAGGAATTTTCTCTACATGTTCTATTAAATTAATTGCCTTAATCATATTTGTAGTATTATTAGTTGTTATTGAAATTATTTTTTCAGAAAGACCCCAGTTAATAATTATATTCTCTAGTTCATTCTTAATAGTTATAGCATCATGAGGATATAGGATATGTCTAATTACAAGTATAACTTCATTTAATTTATAATCTGAATTAATAAAATGACATATTACTCTTATATAATCACTTTTAGAATATGTAGTCCAAAAATCATATGTTAATTTACATGTTTCTATTTCTGATGTGAAAAGTTTTTTTAAAGATATTACTGAATAATTATAACTTTGATAAATTAGTTCTTTTATATATTTATCAGATAGCAACTCATAATATAGATTTAATGTATAAACAAATTCAATAAAACTTTTATTTTGCAAGAGATAAAGAAGTTGTAAATTAGTTACTATCTATTTGACTAAAGTATGATCAATAGATTCTTTTTGGCAAGAACTTTGTCTAGTATGATGAAATATTTTAATAATTGTTAGTTGTACAATTGAATTAATAACTTTAATAGGTTTAGTAATTCTAAGTGTATTTAAATATGTTTGAAAGTTACCAGTTGAACCCTGTGTCTTAACCAACTGTCTATATTCTCTTTGTCTATCTGATAACTTTTTATATTTTACAATTACTATATAATTTGCATGTATTTTCTATTTTTGTAAAAGAGTTCTCTAATAAAAGTATTAACAAACCCAACTGGTATTTTTCTGTGATTTAGTTTTAATATTATATTTCTTATTAGAATGTTCTATATCACTATTTTTATTTGAATGTTCTGCATCACTATTTTTACTTGAATGTTCTGCATCACTATCTTTATCAGAACTATTTGTATCACTAATAAAATTTATATCAATATTATCTTCATTCAATGATTTATCACTAGAAGTATTAATACTTTCAGAATAAATATCTGAATTTGAAGCCAAATTAGAATCAGTTTGGTGCTTAAATTTGTATTTTTTGGTATTTGTTATTTCATCTATTAAATTTTTTAGAATAATTAAAAAATTTATTTAGATAGAGTTTTTAGAATATTAGTGTTTAAATAGAACTAATTTGAAGTACATTATTTTTATACTATAAATTAATAAATCACTAAATAGAATAACAGACATTCTAAATTCAAAAGAAAATAGAGAAATTTAACAATTATTTCTATTGTTAAAATTATTATTGAATTAATATATATAGGCTTATAGCATAACAAATACCTCCAAAAATAATTTATCTCATATATTTGAAAAGAACAATAACAATATAAAAGAGTTAATTTTTTTATAGGTCCTAGTTAAAGTTGTTTATAAAAGTATCTTAGCATACAGTAGTAATTTATTTAAATCTATTAGCCAAAAATCAACTTATTTACAATACATTATAAATATAAAAATTTAGAGCAATAGAAATAAATAAAGACAGTTTTGTAATATAATCTTAAATATACATATTTAGTTTCTCTGAATGATGATTTTAATAGACCTACAGAAAAAATTTTATCAAATTGAAAATGCTAAAAGTATACTGTATATCTTTATTTAACATAGTAGGCTATTTGTATTAAGTGAGTTAATTTTAAGTATGTGTATTAGTATTTCATTTTCTGTAGAAGGTATTTGTTGTTTGGTTGTTAGTAGAATTAGAAATATTAGTAAATTCAAGGAGAGTATTTTGGTTGATTAGTAGTTGTTTGATTTTTGTTCAGATTAGTAAATTATAGTATTTGTAGTAGAGTTAAGTAAGGAGTACAGTATAGTTAGAAAGTGTTAGTTCCTTTGTATTTGTGTAGATATAAGTTTCAGTTTGTGATGTATTTATTGAGATTTTGAGTAGAAGTAGATATGATAGTTTTTGTAAATATTTGAGAAATAAATTGAGTGTTTTATTTTTGCTGAGTGTGGCAAGATTGTTTATTAGTAAGAAATTATTAAAACAGGTATTTTTTTCAGTATAAGATGATGTATTGGTAACTGAAGAGAAGAGTAAATCTTCTGTAGAATCATTTGCTGTATATCCAGTTTTCACAGTTATGCAAAAGTCCAAAGCCTGTTCTGTATGTTGGGTCTGACTATCATAAAATTAGTCTTTTATGTCAAATAAATCTTAATAGAATCTATAGACAAAAAATCTGCATGTTAGAAATTCTGAGTTAAATAAAGTAGTACAGATTTTAATAGTTATACTAATTCTAGTAAAGAAGCCTATATATGAAGAATATAGATTGAGTAGATATAAATAAATCTATTATACTAGATAATATAGTAATACTAACTTAGCTTAGTAGCTAACTAGATTAGAAGAATCTGCTTTATAAAATATTCAAAAAATATAAAAGTCTAATCTAGTAGAGGGCTATAGCAAGAACTGAGTTTGTATAAATATTGAATAAGAGTATATGCAAGCTAGATTAGAATATAGCATAGTATAGTTAGATATTATAGTACCTATCTATTAAAAAGTATTAAAGTAGAACTTATCTAAATAAGATCTAGATCTATAATAGTAAAGTTTGCAACATATGTCAACTTAGGTGTTTCTTAAAATGAAGTAGCATAAGATTATAGTTAACTTAAAAATATAATAATTGTAATAAGCATGTATTAATCATTCAACTCTCCCCATAGATCATTTGGACCATTTTCAGAGCTAAAGAAAAAGTGAATTTTTTACAGAAATCTTACTATATACAAGCTTTAGAGCCACTGGGAAAAAAGAAAGAAGACACAAAAATACAGATAGTATATTAAGAAGAAAAAGAAAAATAGCAACAACCTGAGGAACTTCAGAAGGTGTTCACTCAAAAAGTCGATACGAAAAACTTTTTTTTCAAAAGTTGGGAATTTGGCCTAACCCTGAAATGCAGATCAGTTCATGTAATACAAACACGTATAAAAATAGGAAAACAAACAAGCGCGTAAGCAAATACTAACAAGATGTGCCACGTGACAACCAATAGAAAGGTAGCGCGTAAGTCTTAAACCAGAAAATTCATAGGCAAAAAGGAAAATCTACAAGGAATTTAGAAAAAAGCACAAGGTCTTAAAAGCAAACATAGTCCGAAGCTCTAGAACAAAAGATAATACCAGGAAAAATATGGAGTACAAAAAGCTCTATATACTTTATTCAAAAGTTAACAAAAGAATATGGGCGAGAAATTATCCAAGAGGGCAGCATGTCAGTACTAGGATTAGCAGATCACTTTGATGAAATAGTAGCGAAAGCTATGAATGTAGATAAGAACATTATTACTTTAGCAAGGCAATGGCATATTGCACAAGAAAGAGCTACTTTCACAGAAGGAGTAGACAAAGTTAAAGAAGTTTTGGAAAGAGAGCAAGTACCAGTAACTATACAACCAGGAACTGTAAATGAAATAGCAGAAGAGATAGAAATAAGAACTGAAGAAGTATCAGCAATTGAAATAGAGAGTACAAAAGAAGTAGAATCAGATAAATCCACAAGACAGAATATGCAAGATAAGGAAAATTCAGATAGCATAACAAACAAAGAGGGAAAAAGTAAAGCACCAGAGATCATGGAAGATATCTAACTGGCAGAAAGTAGTATGGAAGACAACTCTTGCAAAAATGAAATAGAAGACAGACTAGAACAACTAACTGAAATAGAAAAGCTAAGATATGGTAGTGCATCTCTAGAATGTAGTATATGGGCACCTAATCCAGAAGTATGTAAAGACGTGAAAGAAATTAAAGCGAAGGTAGCAGCAGTCAAGATTTTAGGAGATAATGCTAAACAAAGAGAAAAGTCAATTAGATGGTCACTTAAAGGAAACAAGCATATTAAAGCAATCCAAGAAAAATTTACGAATAGAAACCAATGATGTATTATATACTTTGATTGCAGAAAAGGATATGAAGAAGCTAAGTTAAGATTGGAAAAAAAGAAGGATGAATTTGATCAGCTGAATCTAATTCTCGAAGAAGAGATTAAAAAAGAAAGTTTAAAGAAGGAAAAGTCCTTGCAAAACAAAAAGAAAGAAAAGGACACAAGAGAGATTTAGGCAAGAAAAGAGCTTAAAGAAATACAAAAGAAGAGATCTACATTATATGACTAGACTGAAAAAGGCGAATGCTCAACAAATAGTAAAAAGAGGAAAGAAACAATACCCAACCAAAGTGACGAAGGAAAATTAGCTTCAACAAAAGATAAAGGAAAAAGAAGAATGTACGAACAAGAAACTCTTCTAAATGAAAAAGAGGATTTAAGCAAAAATAACAACCTCATTAAAGAAAGAAAACTACGGCTATGCAGAGAAGAAACTATCACTATATAGGACATATCGTATTACATATTAAGGTCACAAGTCTTCTTCGCAATAAAACATCTAGGACGAGTTAAAAATATTGAGATGATTAGAGAAAGTCACGGAAAAACAAGAGCAGAAGTTACCTTCGAAGAAGGAAGTAGCTTTATACAAGGAATTGAAGCTTGGGTTATTCCTCTTACAAATGATCTCTTAGTACATATAACACCAGGACCAAACAGAAAGAAGATTTTAGAAAACCGAAAACAGTTCATAGCAAAGCTATTTAATATTCCACAAAATATAAATAAAGTACTACTATTTAGACAACTAAAACATACTAGCGCAAGTGCAGTACATGTCTTTAAAAATTCAAATGGGAACAACAAAGGCTACGCACTAGTGTCTTTCAGAAACCAACGTGATATGGTCTAAGGAAAAAAGTATTCTATAAAATATTATGATACTAGACTCTTCTGAGAAGTCTTCGAAGTTAAATTAAATGAAACATACTATACTGAGAAAAGATACAAGCAAAGACGTAATACTCATGAGCCAAGTACAAGAAATTATAGGAGACGGGAATTACCTTCTGATAGACCAGCAGCTCCTTATAGAAGTGAAAAGAAACTCCCAAAAGAAGAGATCAGGCCAGAAAACAAAAGATATACAAAGCTAAAAAATCGAGATAAAATCTATACAGAAAAAAGGAAAACGGAGCAGTATAAAGAAAATAAGCAGAAAGTCTCTTTCAATGATATAACACAATGTATTCAAGCTTTAGAAAGGAAATTAAATAGCTTGAATAATAATTGGAGTCTAGAGACTCCAAATCGTTCCTAAAAGTAGCCAAAGTTGAATGAACAAAAGCTCTAGTCAGCTAAGAAGGAAAACTTGAAAGACAGAACAGAGCAGAAACAAATACAAA